ATTTGATATCAGCATATGAAAATATATTTGGGTTTATTATTTTTCAAGGGGTCAGAAATGGATAACAAAACTGCTATTTTCAATGACTATTTTTGTCCAGCTTTAACATCCGTATCGAGATCGGTTATCGGCTACATGAGTTTTAAAATATCGGATATCGGCCAAAATCCCAATATCGTGCATCCCTAATCCAAACCTTTATAAACCTTTAATATTTCATGTAAAACTAGCTCCTGCTGTCATGTGAATATTTCCTTTTGTTGCAGCTGGTGGAGGTGAAGGGCCCCAACGACCGTTTGTCTCAGAAGCAGCAGATCTGGTTGGATGAATTGCAGAAACTCGGGGCTGACGTCGAGGTGTGTCATGTGACGGCCACCGGAGCCAGAGGAGCCCGTCAGGAGGAAACAAACATACAGGCGTCTAATTAGGGGAATTAATCTGCCAAAAAGGGAAGAATCAGTGGGAATAAACAGGCTCCTCGGAGGAAGAAGAAACATCGTGTAATTCCTCTCCCTCTGATTATTGCTGAGGAATATTTGGCTGAATCTTCAGCAGAAAACTTATAGATTGTTCTTTAAAAGTTTCCTTATGTGGTTTATTTTTGGTGCCTTCCCTCATTATTATTACCTACAAAGTAATGGGGTTTACATACTGGGCATGAATGCTGTATGTTTTCAGATTTTTATTGTAAATTTTATGCTATTGATCTAATTCTGGGTGAATAATTGATCCCAATGATCAAAAGTAGATCAATACTGAGTTGCTTGGTTTTCTGACAGGTACTTATATTTTAAAGCATGGTCCATAGTTTCTCATCATGGCTTTGGTCCGTGTCTTTTCAGAACTCTGTCAGCCCGCTGCAACCATTCAACGCTAGTGAAATTAATTGTGTCCTGCTTTTCAACATCTTATTGTTTATTTGAGAGGAAGCTCAAGGACTAGGAAGCATTTATGGAACTTTATTATTCAGGTTAACTTGTCTAACACTCCAATACCTTAAGCAGCAATGGGCCATCATTATGATGTCACCACCAGAAAGCAGAGTTTTTTGGGGGTTTGCATCCAAATTTTCTGCCTCACCTGGCTTAAGCTCTGCACACATGTCAGTGTTTTTCCTACCGCTTTCAGTTCATGTGTCTGATTCCAGGTAGGTCCTAGATTCTTCTGGATTGCTCCAACCAATTTCCATCCATCTAATTGTCAAGATTTTGGTTAAATGGTTAAAACTGGGAAACATTTGGATGTTTCAAAAGGAAAATGATCATAAAAATACATCAAACTGGTTTGAGAATTTACACATTTTGCCAATATTTACTTTCTTGATTGACATCAGCCTGAATTATTTTGAAGATTTTACGGACTGCGTTTAAACGCCAGATCTGGAAAAGGAGATTTTCAAATCCTTCAATCAGCCGTTATTATTCCAACAACCTTGCTGATGTGCACTCTGTGTTGGACTTTGTAGAATTGTTGTTAAATTTTTATTGTAAGCACGTTGATATATTTGACCCTGGTTGCATATTTTTTATGTTTGGGTACTAAATGTATGTTTTATAAATAATTAAAGTTCCTTGAAGTTAAAACCAGTCCATTCTAAAAAACAACGAAGAATGTTTGGGGCTACCCTAACCCTACCTTACCCCAACTCTACCTAACTCTAACCTTACCTTACCCTGACCTTACTTTACCTTACCCTAACCTTACCTTACCCTAACCCTACCTCGTTCTAACCCTACCTCAATCTAACCCTTACCCTGACTTACCCTAACCTTACTCTAACCCAACATTACCCTAACTTTACCATAACCCTACCTTACCCTAACCCATTCCTGCACTTACCTTATCCTAACCCTACCTTATTCTAACCCTACCTTACTCTAACTCTAACTTACCTTAACCCTACCTTACCCTAACCCTACCTTACCCTAACCCATTCCTGCACCTTACCTTACCCTACACCTACCTTGTTCTAACTCTACCTTACTCTAACCCTACCTTACCTTAACCCTACCTTACCCTAACCCTACCTTACCCCAACCCTACCACGATGACCATCGTGGCAGAGAGAGGATATAATCAGAAGCTTGGGTTTTTGCTAAAAAAATTGAGTCATTAAGAACTTGCTTTGTTTTATTAAAATAGAAAACAGTTTTATCAGTATGTTGGGTTACCAAGCAACAAAAACAGGAAATCACATTTACTTGGAAGCTTAAACTAAATTAACTCTGTGAGTTTCTCATACAAATAATTACTGTGTTAATTGTCTCTAATTACACTGATTTTATACTAATGTATTAAAATATCAGCTGGAACCAAGGACGGAAGTCTGGTGGGTGTTTTTATAACATCCATAAATACAGTTTGTAATAATGTGCAAATCAATCTTATGATTACCTAACAA